CAATACCGATTGTAAACTAGTTGCAAATTCAACTTGGTCCCTGGAAACTCGTGGCACAATAAAACTTAATCAAGTTTGACACAAAGGAGGCATTCGCAAACTTTTCGCCGTCATTTCGTTTGTTTGGACCCTGTTTGCTGTCTGTTTGCTTTCAACTCACTTTCAAATCCATGGATGAGTAGATATCCGCGCCCATTTCACTGTTTATTTTGCATATCATTTGAGATGAATTTCCAATTTATCAGGGGGGAAAATTCCATGCCCTATACCGCCCACAATAACAACAGCTATGACGGCTTAAAATTCCAATTTCGCAATGGATTTCGCACATATGAATTTTCAAAATTGCCCGCATCACATTGATTGAATTCCTTCGCGGCAAACTCAAGGTAAGGACATTGTCAAAGGCTTTGATTGATGGGTTTGCCGTGAAGCGACCTTCACGGACGCGCTCGCCACGTGCTATTCGAGACAGGTGTTTACCTGTCCTCCTGATTGATGGCCAGTGGTCAGATTTACACTTCAGGATCAATAAACTGTCGAAATGGCCACTTCGTTAGCTCCGCCAGCATTACTAACCTTTTATCCATCCATCTGTCTGTCGGTCTGTCACGTCGCTAAGCCTTGACGGATTCTCAAATTCGGGTTCACTGAACTGGCAAAAAGTTATTAATTAATTAACCAAGGAAAGGTACGAGTATCCTTGTCATGTGTAACAGGTGTGAAATGTCTTCAGTTGGAATTTTCGTATGTTTAAGTGCGTGCCGGGAAAGTTTGGAATTTCGATGAATGAATTGCCAATTAGGGGACCATAAGGTCGGTTTTATATGAAATATTTATAAATTTGGGCTTAGTTGAAAAAATTCATTATTTTAAATGCCTCTTATTTATTTTAAAGAATGCAAACCTTATTTAGAATAAGTAATTTAATTTCATTTGTTTTCCGTTTTCGATTCAGTGACTTTGAGTACTGAAATTATTATTCCAAAACTTAGGCAAGGAATCAACTCAACACTTTCCTACAATTTCGCACTTATGCCCAATTAATTTTACAATTTTTACAGTCCGATTGCCATTGATAATGAAACAACTCCCATTTCGGCATGACCCTATCCGTTTAACGGCTGTTTGCAATGTAATAATTTTCAATTACCCTTCAGAGAAATTTTGCTCGCATTCAGGTTAATTGTAGCGACCCATCTTATTGCTTTCGGAATACACCAGAAGATTCCGAAAAATTATTTAAGTGGAAAGGAAATCGAGCTGTGTTCAAACAGAAGATAAGCGACCCATACCTCACTGAAATTTTCTTTATCCTTGGGAAGGCGCGTGTTGAAAAATCAACGAAGACCAATTTTTGCTTTTATTGCAAATATTAAAATGTTTACACTTGAATGGGTGCTGCCAAACAGAGGGAGCAACATTAACTCGATTATGATAACAAGCCTGGCTGGCAACTGGGCTCTAGGACACCGAGTCCTTTTTGGCTTCGGACCCAAGGCCTCAGGAACCAAAAACTGAAGTGTTGGGCATCTGAGCTTCGAGTTCATAGCACGTGCAACGGATGTGCCCACTTATGTGAAGAGAGAATTCCTTTCTGTTAGCTCCTTTTTCATTCTGTTCTCCATTCATTTAAAGGTCCTTTTCTTTTTTCCACATTGCAGACCCGGCGGAAGCTCAAATTCGGCCAAATATTCACAAGCAAAAACCAGAAAGATAAATTTGTCTAGGCCAAAAAACACGCACGTGTGCTGAATGATTTTAAATAAGTTCCTAATTAGGGTATCGGTAACAGCTTGCTTTCTATTAAAAAGTTCTTTATCAAATTCAGTTTAAAGGGTTTTAATTTACAACTTTTAAGGTATGGAAATTGTTTTTGTTTAAGTTGATAAAATACAAAATTTATTAAAATTTTAAGATTCTGGTAATATTTGGCAAAGATTTAGTCCTCCCAAGGGGCCACAAAGAGAATTCATTTAATTTTGAAGATTTTTAAAGACTTTGATAAAATGTCTAAAAAATATTTTGTTCTTAGATCTTAATGCTGATCAATGGCGAGTCTACCCACAAATCCACCCCTCAGGAATCCGATAATTAATTCTAGATAGATATATATAGTCCTAGAAGAATCCGACATTTAGGAGTCCTATCCTGGGAGCCCTAGAATCCTTGGATTTTCAAAGGAGTCCTATGGAAATTTTAATACAAAATTTTATGAATTTTTGGTTTTTAGATTTTGACGCAGATTGATGGAAATTCTACCCACAAATCATTTTAGTTATTCCGCTTAAGAATCCTAAAACTATTTCCAAAGCTAAGTCTTCGCAAGGAGCCATAAAGTGGATCCAGGTATTTTTGAAGACACTTCTCCACAAATTAAAAAAAAAAAGTCAAATAAAATTATGTTAATGATTCTATTTTACAGATTTGAGGAGAATCGATCAACAAATCGTTTAAATAATTTTTCTCAAGGATTACAGGCTTGCCCAGATAGACTGTCCCTATTATCCATTCTTCTAAAATTCATTATATTGTCTTAGTGCATTCGTCCTTAGTTATTTACCTAATCACCTATTTTGCTAAGTGTAATACTCATCCTAACCCAAATAAATACAGAAACTCAGACATAATTGAAATGGACTCCTTAGGTTTTTGGCGGGGCGGAGGAAAAGGCGTCCTCGTCTGATCCGCAACCACTTGAGTGGTTTGCCCCGGCGGTTTCTTTAGCTTTTGCGGATTCTTAAGGCGCCGTTCGTGGCCGCCCTTTCTTTCTTCGCCACTACCTCTTTCTCTATCTGTGGCACGGTTCAATGAGCCGGCGGCGGTCAGGCGAAGGATTCGAGAGACATTCATTAAAAGGAGGCTGCCCAGAAATTTGGTTTCATTTCTCGGAGAAGGCGTGGTCGCACTCGAGATTTGACATGTGAATGGGTCGGGTCTGGGAGTCGAGCTTATGAGCTCATATGAAAGAGCAGGGAACTTATAGCGCGTGTTTGTTAAATGTCAGCGAACCGAATTGAAAATTAAATGATACTTATTGGAGAAGGAAGAGGTTTCAAACACACGTTAATCCATTGAAATTTACCCAAAAGCTTTGGCTTTTGAAATCGCGGTAAGAGGCTTTGAGTTGTGACAAGTTTTTAATTGGATATGCAAATAAATGTATCTAAGGAAGAAGTACATTGATCTTAGAAACTTCTGAGGATTGTTAAACCAAAATAAAATTTATTTGAAAGTGTTACTAATTTTATTACTTGATGAAATTCCTGGCCACAACAACCGAATGTCTTGCCGACTACCGGCATTATTGAGCTTCTTACTTAATAAAGCAAAAAAATACTTGTAAACAAGGAACTCTCGAAATAAATCAGTCGCTTGTCAATCAGAGACCCTGGCCATTTTCCCCGAGGAGAATCATTCAAGTCGATTGATTCCAATCGCCTGAAGTGCACCCAACCGTCTTCATCTTTTTTGTTGCCGGGCTCCCCATCATTTCGATTTGGTTCGCTTTAATTGCTTTGCCGAGTTTTTCATCATTTCCCATGTAATTGCCTAATGTCCATCAATGTAAGCCCCTTCAAAAGATGGGAAGAACAAAAATGAAGGAAAGCAACCACACTCTGGGCCAAATAATTACAAACGAATGAGACCAAAATTGAGTGTCACTCAAAAGGAAATTACATTTGATTAGAGTCTGTTGCTAGTCTTTAAGGAAAATAAACCAAACATTTTTGGGAAAAAAATTAATAAGCCAACATAATGGGGCAGGGAATTTAATTTAGAAATAAAGTTAGGACCAAAGAAATTTACATTGCGTTTAAAAATAAACCAACGTGACTCCTTTGAAAAAGTTTCACCTGAAAAGTCAGTCTGTTGAGTTATCCTTCCTTCCTGCAGGATCCTGCACCTTTCCACTTGTGGTGGCTGCCATGACAGCTTCCTCTCATACATGGCCCATTTTTGCCCAAGCTTTTACCATTTCCCCCTTTTCCGACCTGGCTTAGGTCCTTTGGAAAAGACGTGCCAGCCTTCACATAACAAAAGAAAAGCGGCTTATGTAGAACGTTCTAGCCTTGGCAGCGAGATATTGCTTTTTTTTCCAGTCAGTGTGTGTCCCAATGTGAACAATTTTTCCAATACCCCTACACTCACATCCAAGATTATTCGATCGAGGCAAATCCAAAGGTGTATCGGGATATCAGGAAAAATTCGCCACCTTCGAAAAAATGTAATTTCACGGAACCCATTGTACTGGAAATGGCATAGTTATATATTCGTAAATTTCCATTGATTTACTCCAAATCCCAAAACCCTTTACCTCCTCTGTGATGCAAATTGCACCGAAACACAAAAAAAAAAATGTATAAAATTTTCTGTGCACATTGCACAATTCCCTTAATTGGCTTTATATAATTCTCCGACTGTTTGTTGGCAGCATTTATGCGGTTGCAGCAAACACAGGAAAGAGCTATTTATTAAATCGATTTGAAATTGCAGCAGCTCGCAAAAACCAATTAAATGAATTCAAATGTGTAATAGAAACAAAAAAGGCGCTGCCAACAATTGACAGTAATTTAGGGACAATTCAGTTGACACTTTTTTTAACGGATGTTGTACAGTGGTTAACCACTAAACTGCGTTTTTTTTCTTTGTCCCCAGAGAGTAGGAAATTGGTTATTGTTATGCTACAAAAAATATATCTATCTTTGATAGAAAATAAACCACAAGGTTAATCCTGAATAAGCTTGTTAAAGCTGTATTACATTTTTTCATCTAAATAAGGGGATGTAACTTGAGAAATTAAGGCGTACATGTAGATATGTATATTCCTAATATCAGCTCTTGTCATAAAGTAATGATTTCTGCTGAAGTAATTTCAAAATATTCGCCATCGACTTTGAAGATGATCTAATCATGTCTTCAAATTATAGAATAATCATAAAAATCTTCAATACCATAACGAGCCATCAAATAGGTAACAAGTTTCGGGAGCTTGTAAGGATCTCAAGAGCCTTGACGAGGCTTTTGATGATATGTACCAGACTCTGCGCCAAACGGGAAACCTTTTCTTTGAAGGCGTGGCTGAGGACTCGACCTATCCGAAATGCCTAACCTGTGAGATGCCGAACCTGGATACCTTCGGAATCTCGAGTGCCAAAAAGCCTAAGGACTGCATATGCTTCAACTGTCATCGCCTCTACGGCTTGCCAAAAGAAGCTCACTTCCCATAATGTTAATTTTCGATTCAATCCGATTACTGATTTTTCATAAGACTTAATTATTAAAGCAATCTGTTCTTCGCAATTAAAAAAAAAATATATATTATACAATCAGCATTTTTAATAATTTAAAATAAACATACGTTTCATTGTGAAAACCATACAAGTGGCACATTACTTGGGGTATTTCTAAAATGTTTAAAAATAAACATTTTTCTATAATTAAAATAAACAAAGCTTCCGGAAAGCAAATGCCCCGTCGTTGCTTTTAACTTCATTTCAACTTTGCCCCCAAGGCCAACCACACCCACTCTGTGACCCCTGCCCCTGCCCCTTCAGGTGCACAAGAGGAAAAAAAACCAAATAAGTTGGTGGTGGAGGTGGAGCTCAGAGCCTGGGGCATGGGAAACCACACGCAGAAAAACAATCAAGTCGTTTGCGACCTGACCCGTGTACCCATACAAACACAAAATGACACCCACACTCAGCACGTTGGAGGTAACTGTTTATTCGTAAATATAAACTGCACATGCACGGTCCCAAGTACCAGATACCAATGCAGATACAGATACAAATACAAAGATACCAATACAAAGCCATAGCCGTGGAGACACCGCAGCAAATAAGTACTTACACTTTAAAAAAATCAATTGCAAATTGAGAGCATCATGTTAGTTATTCAAAATAAAATTATTATTAGTTTTTGAAGGATATAAAAACTATTAACTGAAAAAATAGTTGAATATTTCTATAGATTACTTAAAAGACTATTAACTTCTGTGTATCTGGTCCAGATACAAATATAATATGCAGAGAACAAATACGGTTGCACTTAACCTCGAGGCTTACGCGGGCGGGCAATGTGCGCTTCCTTCTCGTTTAATTGCGCTTGCAACATGACGGCAGCGGCCCCAGCGGATATGCATCCACACTCGTGCACATATTGATATGTGTATACGTTAAATTTTCAGTTTAATTTCGTTTTCATTTCCGTGCCGGTCCTGGGCGAAGCGTGGAGGTTGAATAATGGGGGTCGAAGATTGAAGAACCGGCAAACAGTTTGCCTGCAACACATGTCATGACAGCCGTTTCTGCCATGCATTCTCAAGGATTCCAATAGCGGCAGCCAATCAATTCGACAGTTTAAATATCCAGTAAGATGAAGGAGATATACGGATTATTTTAGATATAAACAGAATACTTACATACTCTAGGAATTTATTCCCAACTGTGGGTTTTCCGAATGTATCTCTCCTTTATCCGACTATAGTCTGTACGATTACCGGGTATGATACTAAATAAACAATTAAATCAGAGTATTAAACAGTCATCCTTATTGGTATTTTTGCTTTTCTTAAGCACATGTTTTACTTATGCATATACTTCTCCATCGAACTCCGATTCCCCACGAGCCCCATCGTTTATTATTCAACGGAAATGAGTACCAGATTCCTGCGTGTGCGTTTGGGCTGATATCTCTTGCTTTTATACAGCTTTCGCCCAACACATTCCATTACTTTCTTTTGCGGATTCCGCCTGTTTTTCTACACGTATTGTTGCCTGCGGCAGGCTGTCGCTTATGCTGAAAATTAAAAGAAACTTAACTCTTCCGCTCTGCACTTGCCGACGTTTCACGGAAGTTGCAATGAAATTGCCAACATCCGACAACAAAAGCCAATAAAAACACCGACAACACCGACTGTGGGCCAAGTTCCAGCACGTGTGCGTATTAGAGATGCCAAGGAGAGAATAATAAATATAAGAATTAAAGTCTTTAATCTATTAAAAAAAAAACAATACTCATAAGAAAAGTAGAGTCTTACAATAAAATATAATTTTATTAATAAACCTACTATACCTCGCTGAGATGCCATCACTAACCGTAGCAGGCAGGCTTGTTAAGGATGAGCAAGTCGGGGGTCCTTGCATTTGTCAGTCTAGGCAGGCAATATGGCTGCTCATTTCCTGTGCGCACAACGGAAGTGATTTGAGCTGCCTGCAGGACATAAAGGCAAAGGGGCGGATTGAAATGGGAAAAATGGCAGCTCTCCATTTCCCCGCCGGTTTCTCGTGTGATTCTGTCGCTCTGCAATTGAGATGATAGACTGCACTGCACTAGTGCTTCATGAATATTTAGGGCAAGCTTCCAGCCATCTTGCAGGTGAACCTTTTTCATGGCCAAGGTCACTAACAGGTTGCGTAACCCTGAATGACAATTTTCCAAGTGGCGTTTGTTTTTCCTCAGATTAAAGTAAGAAAGAACGAATTCTATACACTCTTCGCTTATAGTTCTTAGAAAATATCTTTTAGTTATTTAATTGGAAACCCTCATACATATATTTCTTTGTGTGCTGTCGGGAAAGCGAGATTAAATATGCTAACACTCTAATGGAATGCAAATTTATTTCAGATTCTTTTTCGCTGAGTCTGTCATAAGCAAAGCATTTTGCATGCGAATTATGTTTGGAATGGCAGCTCAAAGTGAAGGATGAGCACAAGGATACCATTTCGCCGACATTTACCTGCTGCTTGCCAATGCAAATGCCGGGCAATTTTTCATTTGCATAAAATGTCCCTCTGCTCGCCGACGAGATTTTCGAGTTGTTGGAGTCTGCCAAGTTTGCCAGCTGCAGACACCAGGGATTACGAATCTCAGTTGCCACGGGATACTTGGCCAAAAATAAAAGAAACTTTTCGCTGACAAATTAGCGGGGAGGTCTGGTCCTAAATTCGCCAGATAAACTCATGTCCCACATGTGTAATGCTCTTGTCCGGACTTCGGTGTTGGTCTCCGGATTAGGTTAACTTTTCCGCAGGCAGCCAGTTATCGACAGATTGCCACCTCCATGCTGCACGACTTCACTTGATCCTTGTTTGCAGTTCTACTTCCTTTTTTCCGTTGCCATTATTTCCTCTCAAACGATTCTTGCACACTTTTATTGCAAATTGAATTTGCTGTGTCACGTCGTCGGCCACTTTGTCAATATTTTTTTTTGAGTTCTTAAACTGCCGCCATTCCAAAAGAAGAGCGCAGTAGTTGGCTATGGAATTCAGTAACATACAGGGTGATTAATAAAAAACTAAATAGGGCTTTCTGTAAAACGGTTAAGTGATTTTGATTTTGATTTTGATTATATATTAAGCAGAGCAAAAAAAAATATATTTATAGTATTATTACATTTTTTTTCTCAAAGAAAAATTATAAAAATAATCCTTTTTTTGATTAGAAAAAATTTTAACTTTAAAATATGGTCCAAAACTATCGATTCATCGATAGATACTGCCAGCCTTTATGTTAACTTCAATAACTATCCAACACTATACAAAAAGTAGCTTATCAAAAGAAAAGTAGGCGACAAAACATTTTAGGAAAACTATTGCCTTCGTACATTTCTTCCTAAAATCATTCTAATAAAAGTCTTCGAGACAAACGGATGTGCTTTGAGATCCAAAAAAAATTATTTCAAATAATTTTCCTTTAAAAAAAAATGGAAGGCAGGAAACCTGGTAAATATTTTTATTTCGACCGAAATTTTGTTGTATATATGTAAGTATGAGTTTTTGCAGATATTACTGGAACGTCTCCAAGTGACATCGCAGCGCGTCTTAACTCGCGCTACGGGAACTTGAACGCCCGCTCGTCGCGCGATGTTACCGTGATCGGCCATAAGCGAAATCCCTTCTTGGCTATGCCCCAGACCGAGATGGAGAAGCAGGTTGAACGCGAAGTCCAGGAGAAAATGGAGAAGGAAATGGCCGAAAGGCAAAAACGTAAGAAAAATACGTACCTGGAGGGTCGTCTGGAGTTATCGGCCAAGATGGAGCTTCTGACTATGAATAAAGAGAATTCACCGGATCTGAAGACTCCAAAACGCTGCATCTGCAAGCGTCCTTCGAAAAGCTTCAAGTGCGGCGGATGCCTTAAATTTTTCAAGGGTCGTATTGCCGATACTTGTCCGAGGCACCCTACGGTAAGCTTAATTATAATGACTTGCGAAAAATATAATTGGCATTCAGAGTATTAATAATTGAACAATACCTATTTTAGGAAACATTCTTGATGGACTTCCGCATGTGTCCTTATTGTTCGGGCCCCGTTGATATGATTAAGCAGCAAGATCAAGAAGAGGCCTAAAAGATCACAATGTAATCTGTATAACCTTTAACCATGTGACTAATAAACTGTTCACAAACAACTAATTCTTTTTTAATATTAACAACTTATCGTTTATGGCTATATACTGACCTAGCTAAAACACCCTGTTTTGTGAAAAACTTTTCAGATGGAGGAAGTTTACATTGCAACGACAATTTTTCGTGGTCATAAAATGCAGCTGCAACTTTTCTGGCTGGATTGCAACAAAGGACTTTCGGTGGCATTGTTATACCTCTGTTCCTGCCATTGGTCAGTTTTAGGACATTGCACTTTTGGCCAGCTTAGAGCGATGGTCTTCCAGTGACCCACTGGGGTTCACAAATATTCCATAGCACCTGCCTCTGGGCCCCCTGGACTAGACCGATTCACCCAAGTCAGCACATTGTTCGGAATATGGCCATCAGCCGATTGTGAATGTGAGTTAGATTGTGTGTTCCACGGCCAGGACATCATTTGTCAATGTCCTCCGCGCCCTGGGGCGTCCTGAGCTCACGCAACCTCATATGCGCCATCTCCATACACTTGAAGGAATGAAAAGTTCGAAATGGAAATTATTTGTAGTGAATATTATTATTTTAAAATGTACTCTCATTAAAGCTTTTATCAACAAAGCTAATTCATTAAACCGTCGAACCTATTATTGTATTATTAATATTTTTTTAGTGTAACCTTTTCGCATGTTTGGTTCCCGTATTTCCAGGGACCTCTAGGATTTCCCCGACATTGCATGAAATTTATACACATCTGCTACCTGACGGCTTTTCCAAGAAGGAGGCAAAGGTTGGGGGTACAAAACGCAGTATGCTGAGCATCGTTTTTATTATGCAGCACGGTTGAAGCTGCCACAACGATGGCATTCCCCCTCTTGCTACCTCTCCGCGGACATAACTAACCGCTGGCAACCTGTGTGCCATGCCTCTAATTAAATGCCTTTGAACTTTGCTCCACTTATTACGAACCGATCTACATTCATTCGGTCTTTTAATTGACGTTCTTGCCATTCACAGAAACCCAAACGAATGCAATTTCAATTTATGCTGAAATCAAGAAAATAAATTGATGTTTTGGTTATCTAAGTGGGTAGTTATTGGAAATTCATTTAAACGTAATTCATTTCTATGGAATATGGAAGACCAATAAGGATACCAGGGAAATGTGTCTTCCAACCATCTTTTAAACATGAAAACGATTTTCTTTAATAACAAGATTAATTCCAGCATATGGTATTGTTTAATTTAAATATTTGGACAATTTTGCAGGCTACTAAAATTTATAGCTTATGAATTTTCACGTCAAAAAAGGAATACCCATAAATATATATAACTTCGTTGAACCATCCTGTCACTTTTGGGCTGCGGCTGAAACCACAGGCAAATGTCAGAAACAAATTCAGGCAAAACAGCCAAGCAAAGCGAAATATTTTTAATGGCCATAATTTGGTGGAAACGACTGGAACAGCCGCAAAAGCACAAAAGTCGACAGCAGCAGGCAAATGAACTGAACACTGGCCATAAACCGCTCAATTATTGCGACTTGGCCGGGGCCGCAGAAAGTCATTATCTAAAATATTTGACATGCGTCCAGACATTTTCGGAGGTGGCCTCCCATTAAGAGAAATTAACGCTTTATTTTATTTACTTTTTCGTACTCAACAGGGTGAGGGTGGCATGAAAAAATCCAGTACAGACACGCGTAGACAGAAAGTTCGGAGTTCAAAGGTCTGGGCAGTGATTTCCACACGCAATCCCAAAAAGTATGCTGGGAAAATGCGAACAGGAGAAAAGCTTTTATCAATGATATATGAGGCATGAAAATAACATTCACATACTGCAGTAATCAGCTGCAGAAGGCAAATCCACCTCCCAAGCACTATAACTGAAAATTATGAAACGAAAACTTTCTTACCATGCATTCTATCTCCGACGACAACTTTTGGAAATGAATTTTTTATGGCACTGCAGGAGCAAGTGCAGCTTGCTTGTCTTGGCACTTTTGTTTCCTTGCAGTTTATGTGTCAGATGCAGTCGGGGGAGCAGCTCGACTGCGAAAGGACATCCCTCAGATAACCGGGGAGCTTTCTCGCCCTGAAGAGCCCAACTTGGAAAGTAGCAACATCTTGTCACGGTACAGTATTAGACAACTTTTCAGGTCAAAGGGGACGCATTAAAGGTGATGTTTGTCTTGCGGACATCTGGGTTTAGTTATGGGATATAGAAGCTGCTCTTTTTGGTTAGGCCAAAGCTTTCACAATTTTTTAGGGATTTTTATAAGCGTTAAATACAGTACACTATCCATTAAAAAAGACTTCCCTAAAAATGCTATTAAAATATTTTCCTTTGTTTTTTTACTTATTTTAAAAAATATACCAAGTATTCAAATCAAAGTTAAAAACACATAAAATAAAACTCAAGAAGGTAAAGTCAAATAATAGCCATCAGTCCAGAACCGTCAACTGGGACACCATTTAAAACAAAGACAATTTCTCACTTTCCCCCAAAAAACTCTCACTCTTGCCCCTTTCACCGCCGCATTTCACTTCTCTCTGTGACATCTCTGGCGAAAAATGTGAAATAAAATAAATATTGACGGGCTGCAGCAGAACTTGGGATTGGGTGATTTATGTGGCATGACTCATGAGCGAAAAAGTGTAACTGAAACTGAAGCCGGTCTAGATTTATGCGGTGCTATAGCTGACCAATCCGTCCATATAGCACAGCCGGACAATTCCCAGACACAAGGGCAAACAAACCAAGGAAAAATTGAAAACTTTTGTATGAAATGACAATCGGTTGGGAAGCAGGAGGGAGAGGCGAGAGGATGAGGTGGTTCTGGTGGTGCAAAGAAGTCAAGTGGAGTGGGGCAGCAAACATGCCAATATTCTGCAGGCACTTGGCACATATAATGTAAGGAAAGTACCACCAAGTACATTGAACTCTTGTGGAAAAGTGAAATGTATAACCTACACTTAAGAAAATATATATATATAGTTTAGGGATCATTTTTAAAATTAATTATGGACAAATTCTTTAGTCTTAGATGCATCGTAGATTTTCAATCTAATCTATTTCTTTATATTTCAAAATTATTTAATTTATTTTCTGACTGTATTGAGGCTTTCGAAATGCAAATGAGTGGGTGGCATGGGTGGTGCGGTGCTTTAGCCTCAGATTTGGTTTGCAACGGTTCGGTTTTACTTTCGGCCAGATACTCGCACTCAAATGCGAGTACGGGACTCGTATTTCGGTCACCGAGTGTGGAGGGGGATTCACTTGTGCATGTCAATCACATTCTGACAGCAGGCGGCAGAGGCATGAGGCATGGGGCATGAGACATGAGACCAGAGGCATATAGCACATACAGATATTCGCACGCACCTCCCCAGCCGCATCCACCCATCCTATTCCACAATCCATCCTCATCTGGCTGCCAGCGATCCGACGATGAGACAAACATTCCCACATTTGATTGACAACCTAAAACGGTCGTCTGGTTTTCAGGCAATGAAATATAAACTCTATTTTCTCTGCCTTTCGCTTGGTAATTAAATTCAGCAAATTTCTGAATTATTTATGGCTAATTAAATATTATTCAGGTGCAAAAAAAAATCTCGCTGCGGCCGGCAAAAAACTAACACAACATAATAACATCAAATTAATGACTCAATTATTAATTGGCGTAATAAAATTCTAGAAATACCCGCTAAACACGCACTAAATTTGCGAAATCATATTTCATCGCAGCCCCCTCACAAAAGTGCACAGCTACTGTCCAAACTATTAATTAATGTTCTGTGCGTAATTATTATTTTTAATACGCGGCATTTATTTCGCGTTTTGATCATTTGGATCCGACATAATGTGCGTTGGCAAGAGTGGGGCGAACTTAATGTGAAAGTAATTTCATTTGTAAAATATTTCATATTCTTTTTTGGCACAAAAGAAAAAATGTCAGCGCTGCATGATGAATAATGATTAACAAGTATATTCACTTTTTAGCCTTGTCTTACATTATTATGAATTAGTGTATATCAGCGAAAAAACCTCAATTAACTTGGCAATACTATTATATATTTAATGAGCCATTCTAATCGATGGTCCCCTAATTAATTAATTTACGTAAAAACTCGTTTTAATCATTCGATAGTCATTTAATTTGCATAATTTTTTTGTTTTTTTGTCAATGCTGAGTGCGTAAATTAAACGAAATTACCACTTAGTGTGTAGGGGTGGGAAGGCTGGAATCTGATAATGAAATTCTCAAATTACAACCAACTAATAGCTGCACATTGAGCTCCATATATTTGCATACATGGGCAAACACAGTTCATTAAAAATTCATTGGGGCTCGCGAGTTCGCCAACTCACTTGATTATTTTGCTGAGTTTGTCGAAAATCAATTTCGGAAAATTGCTTGTATTTATATGGAAATTCAAGCGGGGAAAATGGGAAGGAAAAAATTAACAGAATTTATAAGAAAAGTTTGCGCTTGCCACCAAAAACTTTTGACCCAACAAACGCAACCGCAACAGGGAAGGAAGTCTAGGGGGATGGGTCGAAATGGGTTTTAAAATGATAAACTGACCCTTCTGGGGAATGTCGTCTGCATTCTCAGACACTCTGGCTAAAATTCTACCCAAAACTTTCCCAGCCACTTTCCCAGTCTGTGTTTTGGCCAACTTAATTCAATCAGCAGAAAATTGCTTTAAAGCCAAAAATGATTTAATATTCTTGTGCAACAGATTTCAAAGCAAACTTTAATGAGCTGATTTTTCACAGCAGTAATTACTCTGGACAATTCGCAAAAGCCTTGTCGAACTTCAATTAGCTACACACATTTTTGCAACAAACTTCAAAACCGCCAAAAACATTATCACATGGCCATGGTATAGAACGAATGTATACCCTTTGACAAACTTAATGAATTTTTAACCCTTTACATGGTGGTGATGCAGATCTGCATCATACCGTTTAAATTCAATTATTTATTAAACTGCGTTACAAAACTGTCCAAAATCTTTTTGATGCAGTTCAGCAACTTT